ATGACAGTGATATCTATCTCTATCACTATCCTCTTACTACCATAATACTTTTCTTCACCACCACCTTTATAAGAAATGAAGCCATATCTTGAAGAGATATTCAACACAACCATCCAAAATTAAGCTACTTTTGTTAGAAACCTTGAGTTGCAATCAGGTCAAATTGCAAATGCCATAAATAACTGCTCTTAAGGTACTTTGCCTAGCAATATAAAGACGAACGCAAGTTGGTTGGGTAAGAAGGAATCCACCCTAAGAGATAAGAAATTGAGAAATGACATGGTGTATTTCGATTATGATTATGATGATGATATAGATGAGTTTAATGTGGTGAACATGCGAAAATTTGTTAAAGTTGTGAAAGAAAAAATAGTGGAAATGGAAAAAAAGCCTAATGAAGAGGATTTTGAGGATGATAGATCAATTAAAAAAATTGAATTTGAGGACAAGTATAGCTTTAGTTCTATTTAATGTGAGTTTAAGGCTTATAGTTCTATTCAATGTGAATTTGAGGAAGGTTATAGTTTTTTTTTTCTTTGTTTTGTAGGTAATAAAAAGTAGTAAAATATAAGCTTTAATTATGAAATCCAAGGAGATAGGAGAGTTTCCTATACCCTTTTGAATTTTATTTCTTTATTGCTTACGCATTGAAGACAATTTGCATTCTAAATTTAGGGGTTGGAGAAAATTTTTTGTAAATTTTTCAAAATTTGAAAATGATTGATGAAATTGCACTTAATGTTTTTGCTTTGAGTCATTATGATGCTTCCTTTGGTTGATTTTTCATAATTCAATTATAATAACTATTATTGAGATTAATTATAGCTTGTGAAAAAGAACAAATATTGTCCAAACATGAGATGATGAGATGAATTCTTGAGTTGGTGACTATTGGATTATGAGATTTCCATTTGTGAGTATATGTCTTGATCATTGAGTTGCATGTTATTAAGTAAGCATATAATTTTTTTGCATTGATCTTTATAGTTGTATTCATGTTCTAGAATTTGTTTGACCATCTCTAGTCAAACATTGTTCTTCATGTTTATATGCTAACTTTTGTTTCTTTGCATTTGGATGTAGAATTTATATGAGACATGAGACAAGATATTTATATACATATGGACAGATATATGCTTGCACAAATCTTTCATTAGATTATGTTAATATAACTTCTTACATACAATGTTTTTTCCTAAATTGTTTAAGCAAAAACTCAAGTGAACTCCTAACTTTTACATTTGTATTTGTATTATTTCTAAGTGGAGGTTAGGGTAAGGGAAGGAAAGGGTGTCAACATTCACATGTTTCGTAGGTTTTTTTAGTATTGTATATTGAAAGTACTTATTTATTTGACTTGCATATATTATCAAATGTTTTGCACAAAATTTGTAATATATATGTATTTTTTGTATTTTTATTTAATAGAATTCATAAACAATTTTGTAAAATATTTTATATTTTTTAAAATAAAATGGAGCATTTTGTTTATTTATTTTCTCTATTTATGTATATTTAGTATTCATGTAATTATTTTAAAAATAAATTAAAAAACTAAAATAAAATGATAAAAATTATAAATAAAATCAATTAAATATAATTGAAAAATAAATATTACCAATGGATTACCAACGAAATGCCGATAGATTATCGATTGATTCACCAACGGATTTTACCATTGATAAATTTTGTCAATAATAATTCTATCAGTAATTATCTACTGATTTTATTTATTATCGGTGAAATAATATTACCAACTTGGCTTATATTAACAAAATTTTTTCGTCGATAAATTTGTCGATAATGTAATTACCAAACATTATCAATGGAAAATTAGTTTTTACTAGTGAAATTTTTTGTTGATAAAACTCAATTTTCTTACAGTGACTTTGACCATAAAATTTTAGATTTATTTAATTTCTTAATATTTTTCTTAATTTCTTACATATAAGCATCTACGTGATATCTTATTGGGCAATAATATTACACAATGGTGCGTGTAATACAAAGCTCAAATTTCATTTATTATCTTCCGAATACATTAGATTTTTATTTGATAAAAATTAAAAAATATTAGATCTTAATTTAAACAGTCACATTGGGAATTTAAAAAATTGATAAATTTAATAATTGAACTGAAGTTATCAAATAAAAATAATAAAAATTTTAAAATTTCATAAACTATAGGGATCTCTAACATAATTTCGCTTTGTGCTTTTGATAAATGGGGTTTATAGTAATACTAGTGAGTGGAAGCTAGAATAGTTATTGGGCGAGAGGGCTCAAAACTATTGAAATAGTGTATCCAAAGCCCTGTTCACCGTTAATGAACAATTCCCAAATTTGTTGCCAATAAATACTTGGTTTAGTTAATAAATGGAAATCAACCTCTAACTGTTAATCAGTTCTGAATAAAGAGAAAAAGTTTAATAAAAAAGATTAAATGCGGCGCGGCCGTTGATATAATGAAATGGCATCAAATTTTTTTATATGACATTGTCTTGTTGATTAGGTAATTTTAACAGATGAAATTAGTTGTTAACTTACATAAATAATATTATACTTACACAAAATTTAAATTTTAAAATTTGCATTCATATGAAATTTAAAATTTAATTTTTTAATATAAAACTATTTAAAATTTTTAAGAAATCTTTTAGCTTTTTAAAATATTAAATTTACTTTTCTAATATTTTAATATTATTTTTGAAAGTTTAGTACTTTTAATTTTTTTAATATTTAGAAATTTTTTAAATTTTCTAGAAATTTTCAATATTTTGAAATATTTAATAAATTTTCTATTGTAAAAAAATATTTAAATTAGTTTTTTCAATATTTTAATCTTTAAATAAAAATCATTTTTTGATTTTTATTTTTCAAAATTTCAAAATTTATTTAATCAAAATATTTAATTTTTTGTTTTTAACTTTTTAGAATTTTTATAAAATTTTGATGCTTTTAATTCTTTTTATTTTTTTGAATTTTTGAATTTTTTAATATTTAAACAAAAAATAAATAAATTATGAAGAAGATACGGATCTTTAAAATTTATTCTGCTTTGATATTTTTATATGAAAGAGGATAAAATTTAGAGTAAAACAAATAAATAGCAAAACTGTACGGGTTTTTTTTAATTTCAGTTTTATTATTCACTTATAAAAAAATGTAAAAATTTTCTTAAATTTATAAACTCTTTTTTAAAACATAAAATATTATAAAAATTTCTGAAAGACATAAAAATGAACAATATGGAAAATTTTATAAAAGTTTCAAAAAATTAAAAATAATAAAATTAATTTTTTTAAATAAAAATGTTAAATTTTAAAAAATACAAAACTTTCAAAAAATAATATTAAAATATTGAAAAAATAAATTTAATATTTAAAAAAACCCAAAAAATGTATTAAAAATTTTAAAATTTTAAATTAGAATGACTAGATTTCAAATTTTTTGCAAATATATAATTTAACAATTGATTTTAATTTTTCATATTATTATGTTAGTAAAGTCAACACTATATCTACAAAGTTAATGTCTATATCATAAAATCAATGGTCATATCATCATCTTTAATAAAAAAAATTAATAAAATTAGTAATTAAACTAAAATTATCAAATTAAATTAATATAAATATTAAAATTATATGAATTATAAAACAATTATTAAATTTTTACAAACTATAAAAGGTTTTGGCATAATTTAACTAAAGCACAGCTAAAAACATAATTTACCCCCTTGCCTTCTGTCTTCAAATCTTCATCATCCATCGGAAGTATTCACATTACTCTCTTTTTTAGCAGAGGACAATTATTTGGGACATAAATATAATGATTTCGATAATTAAATTATCAAGGGATACACGAACTCGAATTCACTTTAGTGGCACGGGAACATGCGCATTTGTCGCTCATCTACATTTCATATACGCTTTCGTTTTGGTCTGAACGCAACCCCGCACCGCACGTTCAAAATAAAAAAGAAAATTCTAGCCCCCTGGAGGGATTGCCACGGTGACGATTCTGAACCGTCAGATCAAAAGCAAATCAATGGATATCCATCAACCAACGACCCAGGAAGGTCCACGCAATTTTTCCGTAACTTTTTGGATACTTTCTTTCCCCCAGTCTTTTAGGATTAGAAAAGAAAGAAATGGACAATAAAATACTTGCAGTAGTATATTGAGCAATGACTACTACTAATTAAAACTTAAAAATATATTATTATTATTATTATTATTATTATTATTATTATGTGATAGTGGTAATAAAAAAAATTATTAACATCCCAAGTGAGAATAGTTTCCATCATTTAAACGCTTGATTCTGGACGCAAAAAGTAAAAACAATTTTCTATATTGGATTTACAGGCTCTCAATTGTTTGAAAAGGATAATTATTTACTTATTACTAGTTATCTGGCTATAGTTTGGAATTATACGGGTAAGATTTCAAATTAGTTCACCGAGATAGTCATAAAAAATTACGGAACATAGGAGTACCATTTTTGGGAATGGAAAAATAATTGTACTCTTTTACTCTTTTGTATATAGACATTATCTTTGGAAAAAAATAAAATTTATCGTACAAATAATCACATACGAATACTGTAGCAAAATAATGGGCAAGAATTGTAAAATGGGGTTGTCCATTAAAAATATTTATTATTTAATAATCATAATAAAAAAATAATGAAAAATTTATTTATATATAACTTAAATAAAAATAAAATTATCTTTATGGGTCTTAATATTTAAATGTACATATATTAAAGTTAATTATATATTTTTTAATTAAATGTATATCTAATAATTTTATTTAACAATAATTAAACATTAAAATTGTAAAAATAATTTTTATTTTTTATTAATTATTTTTGTCATCATATTAATTAATAAAAATTTACTGTCAGATAAACTTTTTCTGAAATTCCTCCGAATACTGAGATAATAACAATAAGCAATAACAATAAAAATAATGAAAATGGTCCCCCGCTATCTCCCATAACCCTCCACCATTTTCATAATAAGCAGATTTCTTCACCTGAAAACCACTTCTTCAAAACCGCTTTCCCTCTCCTTTCTTCTTCTTCTTCTTCTTCTTGTTCCTCTCTCTCTGACACGTTTCTTACGGTAACTCATAACAATCGTATATATCTCTTACTTTTTATCTCTTTCTATTACACCATATATCCTCAGAGCCCTCGCCTTTCTTTGCTCTCTTACATTCTTAATTTCTGTCTCTAAAAATGTAAAGACTATAATCCCAGTTTTAAAATCTTTTCCTTGAGATAGTAAAACAGAAAGAAAAAAAACCAATCTTTTCAATCGTTTCCTTCGCTTTCTCTTTCCCACTTTATCAAACCACGAATTCATAATCATCATCGTCGTCGTCTTCATCAACAAATCTCACTTTCCAATACGTTTAAGAAACAAGAAAAGTAAAGGGCACATGACGTTTCACCACAACCACCTTTCTCAAGACCTTCCTCTGCATCACTTTAGCGACCAACAACAACAGCAACAAACGAACCAACTACCGGAACCCACGGGTCCCAATTGGTTAAACACCGCCCTCCTCCGTTCCCAGCGATCTCAACCACCGCAACTGCACGCTCACTTCTCCGAGCCTAACTTTCTTAACCTTCATTCTACTACAACTGCTTCTGACTCCACCACGACTTCCCCAGCTCCCAACCAGTGGCTCTCCCGTTCATCCTCTTCGCTCCTTCACCGCAACCGCACTGACGTCATCGACGACGTGGCTGTCGCCGCAGGAGGAGGAGATGGAGGGGACTCCGTGATCGCCGAGGAATCGGGAGATTTGAAGAACAGCAACAGCGAGACTATGAATAATAACAAGAGCGAGGGTGTTGTAGTGGAAAGTGGAGGAGGTGGAAGTGCTATAGATGGGGCTATGAATTGGCAGAATGCAAGATATAAGGCGGAGATACTAGTTCACCCTTTATACGAGCAACTATTGTCTGCACACGTGGCGTGTCTTAGGATCGCCACGCCAGTGGATCAGCTTCCGAGGATCGACGCTCAGCTGTCTCAGTCACAGTATGTGGTGGCTAAGTACTCGGCTTTCGGTAGTACGGCCCAGGGCTTGGTTAGCGGCGAAAAAGAGCTCGATCAGTTCATGGTATGCCACTTTACGACAACTGTTACTATTATTTTACTGATTTTCTTCTTGTTTGAAAATTATTTTATCTAATTAGCCTGAGTGGCAATTTGGTAACTACATGCCTGTAGAAATGAGAAGAATTAACTGCTTCTCTGGCTGCTCCGTTATCGTCGCTATTTAAGGCCACTGAATTTCTGAACAAAAGCCTTTAAAACTTTCTTCTCTTTTCTCTTTCAAGTTCTTGATTCGAGTGGAAATGAGACTGGTTTTAATTGATAGCCCTTTTTTCTTTAAGATTAATGTTGATTAATCTTTCCAAACATTGGTGATTAATTCAGTGGAGTGGGATGCACCGACAGTTGCTTTTGTGATAAAAGTATGGAGGAAAAATTTTGGTACTCGGGGTGCATCTCTTTTTTTTTTTTTTTTTTTTTTGTTAATAGGATAAGTCGATTGGTAGTAAGGAAAAAGTTGACATCTTATGTTAAAAATTCAATTGTAGCCAAATGAAGACAGGGTTTTGGGGAAGCATCAGAGGAGATTTCCAACTGTTTCAAAGGAAAAGAAAATTTATGATCATGTAACAAAATTAAAAAAAAAAAAAAAAAACTTATGTTCAAGAACTGAGTGCTGATGCTATGGCAGCTTTGATTACTGAATTTGAGGTAGTTAGCAGCCATAAGATTTAACAAAAGAAAATAACACTAATGACTAATGTCGAATCCTGATGAGCTCAGAGAGTGGTAAGTTGGTATTCGAGAACCAAAATAAATAAATAGGTTCCATAATCAAGAATGGTAATGTAAAGAACTTATGCTATTTCTCCAGGCATCCTTCTCTGTCGTCATTTTTCATGTATATTTTAATTCATTATTGTAATTTTGAAGTTGTTATAGAAGAAAATTTTAACTTTTCCCGGTAATGCAGACGCATTATGTTCTGTTGCTATGTTCATTTAAAGAACAATTGCAACAACATGTTCGTGTCCATGCAATGGAAGCAGTTATGGCTTGCTGGGAAATTGAGCAATCCTTACAAAGCTTAACAGGTAAATATCTAGTAGATAATGTGCATTGATGCTTTGGAAATATCTCAAATTGTTTGAAAAGTGAAAAATTCCTTCCTGACATAAATTCTTGCTTCCAATATTAGTTTTGATTATTCTAATAATTTGCATTATGTTCTATATTTAAAATTCTTCCATTTTTGGAAGCATATAGGTAAACCCATCTCTGAATGGTCATCTTTGACAAATCATATTAGATGATACTGATTTCTGCTTTGAAAATATCTTGCCTTGCCGTATTGATTTCTAATGTCCTCTTCTCTCATGTTTGGGGAAAACTATGGCCCAAGTTAATCTTGAATGCTGAATCTGACCTGATATAATCTCTGCTACGACACAAAAACAGGAGTTTCTCCAGGCGAAGGTACAGGTGCAACAATGTCTGATGATGATGATGACCAAGTAGACAGTGATGCCAACTTGTTTGATGGGAGTTTGGATGGTCCAGATTCCATGGGATTCGGGCCTTTGATCCCAACAGAGAGTGAGAGGTCTTTGATGGAGCGTGTAAGACAAGAACTCAAACATGAACTCAAACAGGTAATTAATGAAATTATCTACCGTATAGATTTTTAGGTTAGGAATCAAGGTAAACTGACTTGTGCACTCCTTACAGGGTTACAAGGAGAAGATTGTTGACGTAAGGGAGGAAATTTTGCGCAAGAGAAGGGCAGGGAAACTTCCCGGTGACACAACATCAGTTTTAAAAGCTTGGTGGCAGTCACATTCCAAGTGGCCATACCCTACTGTAAGTTCTAGGTCGCTATGAACTGCATTCAAGAAACAAAAGGCACTCTGATCTTAACATTGTAACCACATATGAGAGCAGATGAGAAACGTTATAGCCTTAGCTTTAGGGTAATGATGTGTAATTTCAGCTTCAAAATGATAAAAGAGTAGTACAGTTTTGTTGCTGGAAAAAAATTGATTTTTCCATATTCAGAAAATAAATTAAAACTTAAGATTGTCCCTGAAGCTATATCTACTTTTAAGATGCATTATTTGTTCTTGAGCAATTTGCTCATTAAACTAATGCTAATGTGTTAAACCAAATGCACCCAGCTAGATTTCTTCTCCAACTTAATTCCTAAATAACTATTTTAACAAAATTTTCAGGAAGAAGATAAGGCGAGGTTGGTTCAGGAAACAGGTTTACAATTAAAACAGATAAATAATTGGTTCATCAATCAGAGGAAGAGGAACTGGCATAGCAATCCATCAACTTCTACCGTCTTGAAGAGCAAACGTAAAAAGTATGCTCAATAAACGCATGTCTTCTTGGTAGTCTACCATTTTTTAGTGCTTTTGCACCAACCTTGATTTGAAAAGAAGTAATGCAGGTGAAAACAATGGTGATCGGTTCATGTAAATGGGAGACAGTCCAGATCAATCACAGATGATGTCTCTTCACATTTCCATTTCAACGACAGTTACAACATGCTACATAGAAATTACAACAATATAATAGGCTTTCAATGGATCTGCTGCAGGGTTTAACTGAAAGGAACAGATTTTGCTTCAACATGGGAAAAGGGCTAACACAGAGGATGAGGTTGTTTGTATTGGTGCCATTTCGCAGGTATGCGTAGATCAAGGCATGCCAGTTTGGTGCTATATGCTGGCCATGCAATATTGTTACGAAGTTTAGGAATTTATATATAGGGATAATGTTATGAATAGTCTTTGAATTAACTGAAATATTTAATATTATATTTGAATTTTTAAAATCTTTAATGTGGTACTAAATTATAAATGTGTTAACAAATATGATATTTGTAAGATTATTTGTTCGTTATTGAGTCAAAATTAATCACGTTAATAGTAAATATCACATTATTTAACAAAAATTCAGATATTACATTAAAAAATTTTTAAATTTAAATATTATTAAACGTTTCACTATAATACGGAAGAATTCATAATATTAACCCATATATATATATATATATATTACTTTAACTTTATTGGATGAATTCCATTTGGATTGGCATGTTATGATTTTTGTTCTTTTTGTCGCTTCATATCTGTGAATAAAGGTTAGTGAGGGACTGTGAGTTTACAGTGTAATAAACTTTGCATAATTCCTTACGGTCATACTAGATCATTATAGCTTTTTTGATATAGTAATGCAGACTAAAATTTGCGGCAAAAGTGGGGTGACCCCTACAATGGGTTCTTTTGTAGTGAGTTTCCATTGAATCATACCATCAGATTTGAGTATAATTTATTGCCGTTGGATTAATGCTCATGCTGAGTTGGACAGTACGGGTAAAATGGGAGACAGATTGGAGAAAGAAAAATTGGAAATAAAGGTAATGAACTGAAAATAATGAGAATTTGTTGCCAACTAAAAATATATTCAAAAAGGAAAAATAAAATTTTAAAAATTATTAGGATCAAAATACAGAAAACCTCTTGAGAATTGGGAAACAAAAATACCTACCCTCTTTTAATCTGAAAAATATCCTCATGTTTCTTTGAAATCATATATTATTATTATTATTATTATTATTAAAAACACCTAGTTACGTTCATGACTAATGACTAAAGGAGTCAATGATTGAGTGAGATTTGATTCACACTTTTAAGTTTTTGTTTAAGGTCTAACTCGATCCATCCATAGATGCTTAAAGATGCCTATTTATTATTTAATAAATATTTAAATATTAAAATATTAAAAACTTACACTAGTATTTAATATTTTAAATAAATTTTAAAATTAAACATAAATAATAAGATTTTTATTATAAAATAATAATTTAGGTCGGGCTTTTTCTTAAAATTCATGTCTAGGGCCTGGCTGGTAGCCTATATAGGATAATGTATTCAATTATGCAAATTAACAAATTCAAATAAAAAAATAAAATTTTTTATATTTGAAATTTAGAAATGTTTAAAATTATACCTTAGCAAAGTCAAAATAGAATAGAAAGATCAAATCTTTTTAAATTACTATAATTAAATATTAAATGTAATTTATTTTTCAATCTTTCTAACTAATTTAAAATCAAACATATTCTTTTTATTTCTATTAATTTAATTATAATTTTTATGATTAGGATACTTCTAACCTACTTCTAAAGTAAATTATAATATCTTTAATTCATTTCGTTTTCATATATCTTTGGACAATTATTATGATCAATTTTAGTGTTTGGTAACTAGTTAAAACCTTAATTAATTTTAATCTAGTATTAAAGCGTGATGTGATTCTATAAATGTTGAACTATTTTTTGACCTTGTCAACATTGAAGATTAAACTATATTTGTTCTTTGAATCAAACATCCACCATTAATGCATGGTTTCATTAAAATTGTTAAAGAATTGGTTAAGGTTTTAGCTTTTATTTCTTTTTTTTTTTTTTTTCGTTTAGTTTATGTCCAAAATGAGACATATTTTTATTCAAAAATAATCTCTTTTTTATTTTTTAAAAATTCTATAGACCAATCGAATGAATATATAAGATTTAATTATGCTAATTTTACACTAAAAAAAATTAAGCTAATGCATTACATGAACTTACTAAAGAGAACATGAATCTTAAAGATTGGTAGGCATTGATAGTTACCAAATTATTTATATTCAATTAAATACACAATATAATATTTCCTTGCAAGAATTCAAAAAACTAATTAATTAATTGCATAATAAGCTCTTTAACTCCTTTAGCTATAAAGGATATAGTATTAACCCACAAAGGGTTAATCCGGATGGTAAGCGAGGGGCCCTATTTTCTTGAAAACTTGAGTTCGATTCTTGTAGAGAGTATTTCAGAAGTAAAATCTTAAATGTATTAAGTTGATATGGAGGGAGTATGTCTTTAAAATTGCTAGGGATTAAGCCCAAATAGAGCTTATAAATACTCCTAATCATTTATAAAAACGAAGCATATAGTATTAGATGAAAGTATGTTTTTAAGGCTCAACTAATATCTTACTTAGCAAAAATATCTCAATTATGACAAAATATAAAATTTGAAAGTCATCAAGCACTTTAAGCTAATGTATTTAAATTATATAATGTAATATAGTATACAATTTTATTATAAAATGGTATATAATTCTCACTCGTGGGCATTTTTAATTTATACAATTATGTTAACATGTATATACATTAATAGTTTACCACCATGTAAAATGTGCATTTAATTATCCTTTTTTATCTTGTTAGCTCAAAGACTTGGAATAAATCAAGAAGGGGGTGAATTGGTTTATATAAAATTTTCAAAAATAATATTCAATAAGCACAAGTTTAGCTAAACAAATTATCTAAGCAAATAAGCACAATAATTAAAAGTAAACAAGATATAGGGTTATAGAATTTGACACCAAGATTTATAGAGGTTCGATCCTTCCTTAGGCACTTACGTCCTCTCCCTTAGCCTCTCTTACCAATGAGTTTAATTCACTATGTGTTGAAGATTACAACCAAGCTTCTCAAAGCTTTACAAACTCAACACTACACACTCTTAAGGGTTATCCTCCCCCCTAAGCTTACAAACTCATAATACATAATTTTTGAAGTGTTTTGCAAACTCTAAGAACCTTTTAAAGGTTAGGTGTTTGCTAATTTTAAGTACACAATAGTATAGACAAGAAAATAGAGAAAAACTGATATGAATTTTGTATTTTTCTAACTTGGAACAGCTTTGAATGCTTAAGCAAATTGGTAAGTGAATAGCAATAAGTTTTTTTGGCTCTTGTTACTCTTGATTTGCAGTGGAATGCTTTATTTATAGGTAAGAAAAAGTTAAGAGCCGTTGGATTGCATTTAATGCTTCAAACCTGTAAAAATTTCAGACAAAAATAGTCATTGGGAGTTTTTGGCCTTCAGGGGATCGATTGGTTCAGGCTTGAAAAGGCACGATTTTGAGCTTGAAAAACCTTACCCAATCGATCAGGTAATTTACCTGATTGATCCATTCTTTAGGTGATCGATCCCCTATCGATCCCTTTTCTGGATTTTCAAACTTAAAAAGCATTATATTTGAGCAACCGATCAATCCATTGCCTTAGGTGATCGATCCCCTATATGAGGGGATCGATCTCTTTTCTGAAAATTTGAACGATGAAAACTTTCTGTATGAAAATGTGATCAATCTCTTGAATGAGAGGATCGATTTGGTTAGCTTGAAACCTCAAAAAATCGATCCTTATAGGGAAGGGATCAATTGATTTTTGCCAAAACTTGAAGAATTTCAATTCTTGAAGAAAACAAGATCGATCACTTTTGCTAGGGGATCGATTTGGTAAGGAATGGATCGATTCGATAAGGAAGGGATTGATCCCTTCTATCAAAACATGCACTAATTAGGTTTTGTTTCAAGAATTTAACTTGTTTTGGTTCTTAAATGGATTTTGACAAGATAGAAGGATGGAAAAATGTTCAATTTAAGCTTAGAAAAGATTGATTCAAGTTAGGCAAAATTTCCTTTTGTCAAATCAAAACTCTTAATCAATTCAAGGCCAACAATCTCTCTCTTTTTGATATGACAAACCAAGTGAAAAATTTGCTTAAAAACATTTTTCTTTTTTGAAAACAAGCTCCCCTAAATAACAATATAGCTCCCCCTAAATTAAAGCATAAGTTTTAAGGCAACTAAGCAAAATCAATATCACCAAAACCATCAATATCATTAGGATCATCAAAGTAATTTTTCATACCAATATTTCTCTCCTTTTTTGTCATAGCAAAAAGGATGAAGTGAAGCCAAATGAGAGAATAATCAATTCAAGGCCACTTAAGTTCATATCAATCATCAAAGAACACATCAATGTCACATGCCATAATGCCATAATGCCATAAGCCATATGAGAATGAAAGAGAAATTGCATTAATATAAATATCAAGTACCAAAGTTTACAAACCATAATGCAAAGATAGATTTACAATTTACAAAAATGTGGAAAAACATAAGGAATGGCACTAGTAAAACTCATTGAGGTGGATGTGGAGAATGAGAAGACGGATGAAGATGAGAAAAGTGAGGAAAAGGCTATCTCACATATGAATATATAGACCTTATTTACTCAATGTCAACTTGAAGATGGCGAACTTGTGCTACCAGCTCATTCTGAGTTTTCTCCATAATTTTCAATCTAGTGTTCATATTACCAACCACTGAATGTAAGTTATTCATTTGAAGTAAAAGCATCTCTAAGGCTCATTAAGTATTGAATGGTGGGGTAGAGGGTTCATCTTGAGGTTCAAACATATCTAAAGATTCTTACTTTTTCTCCTCTTCTTGTGCAGCTCCAATATCACATTTTTTAACCCATAATCCAACTGCATTTTGAACTTATCCCATACTGTGTAATGTAGGAGCCCCAAGAACACTAAATTGGTTATTGAATACCATCTCCTTATCTCCTATAGCATTCACCTCCAAATGCCTCAAAAAATTACTTATGGCATACCCATATACCAAGGTATAATCTTTATTCTAAACTACCCTTATCATATTATTAAAATAAAGTACATCAAATTTGGTTTTTGTTCATGCTTGATCTTATACATCCACCAATAATCTTGCTTCTTAATGATAGAGTATTGTATCCTAAAAGGTGCTAAAATATGAGTAATAATGAGGTGTAGCAATTTATCATGCATAGATAATCTAGAAGCTTGAGTGGGAGCAACTTATAGATTATGATTGCTAAAGATGTCTTGAGCAAGTTGCACCATGTCACATCTAATATTTTTTCCCCTCATCGTATAACTTAAAAGCTTTAGCTAGCATTTGTTTGGTAACTAATATTTTCTTTGCCATCACATATGTTTTGAATCTATCAAAGTAAT